GAAGGAGAATAAAAAGATGTGCAGAAAGAAGCTTGGAGTTGGTTAATGCTTAAAATTAGATTATAGAAAAGCGGAAAATAATTATTCACACGGTAGTATCAAGGAAAATAAAATAACATATTATGACTGAATTGCTAATCATTAAAACTACTAACGCCAATAAATTGAAAAATTTTCTCGCTAAAAACCATATCGAACACCAAATTATTTATACTGAACCTTTAACTGATAAGAAAATAACTAAAAAAGATAAATTACGAGAATATATTGAAATAAAAAGCAAAGAGGATATTTTTGCGGATTACGGAGAAGCCTTAAAAAATAAAGAACTAGAAGCCGAAAAATCTCTATTAGAAAATGACCTTGATTAAAAAAGTTAAAGCGAAATCAATAATCAAAGAGGTTGAAAAAGGCGAAGTTTACCGCTATTGAATACGAAAACATGAAGCGGTTGGCACCGAAATTAAAAAAGAGGAACGATTGGGAGTAATTATTTCGACCGATGGACTGAATAAGTGAGATAAGCGTTTTGTGATTATTCCGTTAACCAGCAAGAAGTTAGGAGAAATTTATTCGTTATGAAACTCGCACCTTTGTTGACAGTAAACACGGCAAGGCTCTAATCGACCAAGTCAAAACAGTGGATAAAAAACGACTAATTAAAAAATTAGGACAATCAATAGAAAAATTGACTACTAAAGAAGAAATTGTTAAATTTATGAAAGAAGCGAAAGAAGAGTTTGATACCAAAATAACGTGGCTTCATTTTGATCTTGAAATGTTTTTGTTTGGAGAAAAGGCTGAAAGTAACAAAGAATACAATCTTATCAGCCGAAAAATCAAGATATTAGACAACTTAAAAGAAAACGAACCTGCTAAATTTAAAGAATTAAGAAAAATATTTAACTTTTTAGAAGAAAATTGTTCTTTATCTTTGAAAAAATATTAAATTTTAAATAGTTTATTTCCTACAATTTCATTTTTTAGATATAAGTTGTACGATTTATGTTATAAATTATTTTCTTTTTAAAGTTTGTCCGTTTATTTTCACTTGTTTTTTCAGATTCGTAAACAACCTTATAATATGATTGAGGTGATAAAAAAAACATATGCTATGTAGTAAATGTTACAAGAATATTTCGCAAGGTGCAGAAATACAAATTAAAGGAACAATATTTTGTAAAGAATGTGCTAAAAGTAGTGCAACAGAAAGAAACACAGCCACTAAGTGCAATTTTTGCCAAGCATCTGTTTTTAACAACGAGCCAATACATGAAGTTTATGAAAACTGAGGCTCTCAGACCTCTGAAAAATTAACTACATGTCAGTTATGTTATAAAAAGTGATTAAAGATAGCCGATACAAAGAAAAAAATATGAGAAATAATGAAATGATTTGATAACTTTTCTAAGTTTATTATGTGATTCGTACTTGCTATCATAACAATTGATAAAAATAAAGATCATGTAGGAAAAGGTCATGTTTTGTTAATAATTGTGCTATCTGTTCCCATTTTTCTATTAAATCCTTTTTTTTTATTACTCATTGAAAAATTTGTCAAATGAAAATACAATAAAGAGTTAAAAAGTAGGAAGAGAAAAGCAAGAAAAAATATCAAGAAGGTAAAATTTAAATATAAGAATGCAAAAGAAAATTAACAGCGAAAGGCTTGTAGAACTAGTAAAAATTTTTAAAGAAATCCATATCAGTTCATCAAGGACTACTAGATTTATAAACTGGTTTAAAATAAAACCCTTTGATGTTGACGAAAAATTTGACAATAGTTACAATGAGACTTTTATGATGGAAATAAAACCATTGTTGCTTTTTCTCTTGAAAAAAAGGAAAATTCATCAAGTATAAAAACATTTTTATTCGATGATGAAAGAAAAGTTGAGGATTTGATAGACAATATTTAATACACGCTTAACTTAAAAACATATCTAAACACTATTGAAAGGAGTACTAGTTATTCCGATTACCTAACTATGAACACTATGTCTATTATACGTGAGAAACATTAGACTATTTCTCCTCCAAGTATCTTTTTAATGATTATATAGCCCTTGAGTTTGTCATAAAAATTAAAGACAATAAATTAATTAAGAATTACCAGTATCCACAAGAGAAAAATCGTTTTGATGATATTGAATTACTGAAAAATAAAACAATATAATGAAGTCTTTGAAAGAGAGTCTACGATATATTACCTAACTTTTGCCAAAATTACCTAGAAATAGAAGAAATAAAAAAAGAGAGGGATATTCCTAAAACTTTAAAAAAATTTTTAGCAAAATAATTCTTGCTCACAATATTCCAGAATTAAGTAAATTTTTAGAAAAAATGACAAATAGGTTTGAAATAATAACAAGCGAATTTAACGAAATGTGTATAGTTCTTTACAAAATAAGGAGTAAATTTGGTAAAGACCGAGGAATAACTAAAGAAAACGAAGATTTTGAGAGCGCTTTAGAAACAAATAAAAAAATTTGTAGCAGAATAGTTATTGATTTATTAAAGGTTATTCATAATGCAATGTTAGTTTCGCAAATTACTGATGGCTAAAAATACTGCGGAACTTCGGAAAATCTGAGAACAAATGAAAAAAATGGCTTTTTTGAGTTATCAGTTAGAACCGAAAAATATTGATATTACAAATTGCGAAATTAATTTCCGCTTTTTAATGTAATTTTCTAAAACTTTTCTCTTAAAATATTTTTCCACCCTTTTTCAATTTCTCTTGTCAATCCTCCTCTAACTCTTTTGCTAATCCCTTAGTATTTTCGGAAAAATGTTTGTTATTCATATACCCCTCAAAATTTGGGGCTTCTGTCATTTTCATCTTTTTTAGGTCAAGGTTTAGTTCATGGAAAGGTTTAGACAATTCATATCCCCTGTATATTTTACATGAGGAGCAAAAGAGGCATTTCCTAATTTCAGTATAACTAACAACGAAACGAGGTGCCTCTTGACCGCTAGGAATTGACCTAGAACATCCATCACAGTTATACCCTTGAACTTGCCGATTATCATTCATAGTTATAATTTATATTTTAGCCTAAAATAGGGGTATATGTCAACTACCTACGAACAAGCGATAAAAAGTTTAGAATTAGCCCGTAGATTAGCCTTAGGCTCTCAATTTACTACGACAAAAAAAATTAAACCCGAGGACAAATTAATAATTAGAACCTTAAAAAAATATGGAAAACTATCTGACAGTTATAAGAAACTAGTTAATCATTTTGCCAATGCTAGACAACTAATAATTCACTTACAAAAAGACTTACAAATTGAAAAGCAAGATAAAAATCATATCCAAAAAGAATTAGATGATACTTTGGCTATTCTGAATAAACCTACTACTGAAATGGGAACCCAAACTGAACTAACAGCCGAACAAATATCCCAAATGGAAAAGGATTTAGCCGAGCAAACTACTAAAATCACCCAACTAACCAAAGAACAAAACGAACTAACTAACCAAATCAACCAGAAAGCAAATGAAATTAATCAGTTAAAAGAACAAGCAAAAGATTTAGAGCCTAACCCCGTTGAAAAGAAGTTAATTAAGATTGTTATTTCTAGTCATGGTTATTGAGCTGATGAAACATATGGAACTTTCTTTTTAAGAACATATAAAGAACAATTGGAAACAGGTAAAATAGAGGAAGAGATAGTGGACTGAAATCAATTAAAAGGAGTTTATTCAGTAATGAGAAAAGTCTTAATGGATTATATCCGTGTTGCTACAAGCAGATTAGAATTAAGACAAGACTTAAACAAAGAAGTAGCAAGTAGAAATCAACTTCAAACTAAATACGATATGGAAGTTAGAAATTAAATAGGTTTTGAAACAGGGATTAAAACAGTGTTTCATTCTAAATGTAAAATTATAAATATGACTTATCAACATTACTGTAAATGTCTAAAATGTGGAGAAATGTCTGATTTATCTTATTTAGGCATTTTGAGTTCTTACGAACAAAAAAGCGAATTACAGAAATTAGCAAAAGAGGGTTGTGCTTCATGTAAAGGTAAAAACCTAGAATGAAAACTCACTACTACGGATGGAGAACAGAAATGAACTACTAACCAATGCTCTAAATGTTCCCAGCCAAAGATTATTGACATACCTAATTGGGAGGAAATTAAAGGTCAACATATCAAAGAAGGCATTAAGACTAAGGAAGGACTAATTAAAAAAATGAATAAAGAATTAAAACAATTTTGCTATTGTGATGTAGAGAATGATAATGACAGAGAGAGAGAGAGAGAGAGACAAAAAAATTGAGAAACTACGGAGAAAGGTTGCCAAATTAGAAGCAATTGTTAACCGAACACCCCAGCAAGAGCAAGATTTAAAGGATAAAAAGCAAGAGTTGGCGGAGTTAGAAGGAGAAAAAAATCAATCACATAACTCTAATAAAACTAACTGAACTCCTTGACTAATCGGAGGTGGGATAATCTTAATTTTGGTAATAGGGATAATTGTTTACTTCTTATGAGAAAAGAAAAGTTTAAAGGAATAAAAACCCCCACACCACAGCATTTAAAAGAACTAAAACAAAGAGGCTACACCCAAAAAGATATTGCTACTGTTTATGGAGTTAGCGAAAGAACAGTAAGAAATTGAAAAAAAGAAAACGACCAACCCAAACAAAAAAGAGGTCGTAAATCTAAAATAAATGGGAGACTTCTTTGGGATTTGTTTTTCTTTCTTTACGGCCAGGGAAGCAGAAAAAGTTATACCCAGCAAAAAATGGCAAATTACCTTTCCAAAAAGTCAGGTGAGGAAATAAGTAAGTATTCCATATTCAGAGCATTAAAAAAACTTAATTTTACCCGTAAGAAATTAACTAATCATTATTCAGAACAATTAAACCATTTACAGAAAATTAGCAAGTTTAAAAAACTAATTCCTAACTTACCTCAAACTAGAATTATTGCTATTGATGAATGTGGTTTTCACCTAAACGAAACACCTCGCTATGGCTATTCTCATAAAAGTTCTCGGGCTGGATACACCAAACCAGGTTATCCAGGAAACAACCATACTTTAATCCTTTGTATTCAGAATGTAAATGGTAAAGGAGTAATTCATTGAGAGTTAATCCAAGGAGGGATGAAAACCGAAAACTTTCATAATTTCCTTACTAATCTTAAACTTCATAGTGAAAGCAAACATTATCTGATAATGGATAATCTGCGAGTTCATAAAGCGAAGCAGGCATGTATCAAATTAGGACTTAATCCTATTAGAGAACTATTGGCTAGTAAAAATATTGAAACACTATTTTTACCTCCTTACACTCCGGAAATGAACCCAGTTGAATACTGTTTTAACTTGATTAGGCAATGGGTAGAAAAGAATAAACCTAGAACTTATGAAAAGTTAAAATTGGTTATTGCTAAAATAGTAAGTATACTTAATCAAAAAGACTTAACCGAGTATTTTAGAAAATGTCAGAATTATAAATCTAATGGAGAAGCAAATAAGTCGGCTAATATGCCTTTTTGGAGATGATTTGTAAAAGAGACTAGCATGTATAAAAATGGAGCGGATGTAAATCCTGTCTCATTAATAAAAAGCGGAAATTAATTTCGCAATTTGTAATAATACCAAATCTGATTTTAGCCAATTATCATTTGAAGACCAGCAAAAATTTTTGATTTCTCTGCTAGATAAAAAACTTTTGTATATTCCTTATTGTGATATAGGGGATAAAAGCTATAAAACCCGAGGAGGTTAAGAAGTTGAATAGGAAGTTTTATGAGGAAAAGTGTCGTGAGACTAGTAATGAGAATTAGTTTTCTTCTTTTCTGCTTCACACTCTTCCAAACAATTTTCGGCAATCAGGACAAAGTTTTTCTTTGGTGTCTTTAGTTCACTCTTTTAAGTCTTCAGTAAATTCAAGCATGAATTTTTGATCTTTTTCTAATCCGTTAAGGAAATTTTTTACTTCATCGAGTGTTTTTGAAAATAATTTTTCGTTTTTTTCTAGCTCTTTCAATCGTTCATCCCGTCTTTTCTCTAAAAAATAGATTAAAACTGGTTGAATTATAAATCCTAAGATAGTTACTATAAGTATTACCCATTCTATCGGTCTAGTTCCATCACTCATATATTATAATTTTGTTTTTCTAATAAATACATATACCTCTCTCTCTAAAATTATTATATTACACTATTCAAATTAATTTCCGCTTTTCTATAATCTAATTTTAAGCATTAACCAACTCCAAGCTTCTTTCTG